CAAGCCACCCCCTCCGTGTTGGCCATCGGGATTGGGTTTTCGTCGCTTGGCAACGGAGTTGTAAAACAAGCGAACCCCTCCGTGTTTGCCATCGGGATTGGTTTTCCGTCGCTTGGCAGCGACGTTGAATAACAAGCCAATTCACTTTGTGAACTCGGCAACCAGGATACCGTTTTGACTTTTACCTCTCTTTGTTGATGCGGTAACCATAATGGTGGTCGAGTAGATCATGTTGTGCGGGTTCGAGAACCCTCACTCCGCGCAAGGGGGATCATCACACCACGTTGTGTCAAAATGGTCAAGCACCCTCGAGGCAGTTACACCTTGCTTACAACTGTCTCTGGAAGTGAAAGCACCAGAAAATAAATTAAGTCATACGCAGCTGTCATCCGTACGCAAGGAAGTAAGCACAAGATGCCGAACACCCTTAGCAGGATGCAGCGCACCCTTCATGCGACTCGCCGAATATCTCACGGCGCTTCGCGCTTGGTGATGTGAGAGCCTGGTCCGGTGAGAACCCGGCGTGCTCCGTCCCGGCTTTGTAGTGATGCGAGTTCAATGGTCTAACGACTATGGCATGCACGACTATGAGCACACCCCTCCCCTGGTGTTTGCCATCGGGGATGGGTTTTCGTCGCTTGGCAACGACGTTGGAAAACAAGCCGCCCCCACCCTGGTGTTTCCCATCGGGGTTGGGTTTTCGTCGCTTGGCAGCGACGTTGTAATACAAGCCACCCCCTCGGTGTTTGCCATCGGGGATGGGTTTTCGTCGCTTGGCAGCGACGTTGTAATACAAGCCACCCCCTCGGTGTTTGCCATCGGGGATGGGTTTTCGTCGCTTGGCAACGACGTTGGAAAACAAGCCGCCCCCACCCTGGTGTTTGCCATCGGGGATGGGTTTTCGTCGCTTGGCAACGACGTTGGAAAACAAGCCGCCCCCACCCTGGTGTTTGCCATCGGGGTTGGGTTTTCGTCGCTTGGCAACGACGTTGTAAAACAAGCCGCCCCCCCCGGTGTTTGCCATCGGGGTTGGGTTTTCGTCGCTTGGCAACGACGTTGTAAAACAAGCGCCCCCCCCCCCGGTGTTTGCCATCGGGGTTGGGTTTTCGTCGCTTGGCAACGACGATGATCAACAAACCAACCCCTCGGTGTGTGCCATCGGCATTGGTTTTTCGTCGCTTGGCAACGACGTTGAATAACAAGCCAGTTCACTTCGTGAACTCGGCAACCAGG